GTGATCCTCGAGTTTCAATACACCGATTAACAACAGGTAATTTTTTCGTGCAAACCTCATTTGCATGTAAACATAAAAGTGAACAGAAAAATTTGCATATTAAACTCGGGTTGATTTTGCAGGAATTTAACTGGATATTTTGCCTCCGGTAGACAGATGAAGCCACATGGGATTTTTTTCGGTTGCCTTAAATCAAATCGGAAAGCTTCATTGCAAAATAACAGTAAGTGGGGAATTGTGCTTCTGAAACGTTCTAGCTTTGTCCCACTGTGGATCGATAAAACGATCAGTTTTCAGCCTGTAATCTAATGAATCTTGCGGTCGATAGCGCAGTGTGAACACCGCTCATGTGTTGGAGAACGAAAACGTCATTTGTAAAGCTTCAGCTTTTGGATACCCAAAAGATGGCGAAAAACACACACTATATATTATATTATATTATATTATATTATATTATATTATATTATATTATATTATATTATATTATATTATATTATATTATATTATATTATATTATATTATATTATATTATATTATATTATATTATATTATATTATATTATATTATATTATATTATATTATATTATATTATATTATATTATATTATATTATATTATATTATATTATATTATATTATATTATATTATATTATATTATATTATATTATATTATATTATATTATATTATATTATATTATATTATATTATATTATATTATATTATATTATATTATATTATATTATATTATATTATATTATATTATATTATATTATATTATATTATATTATATTATATTATATTATATTATATTATATTATATTATATTATATTATATTATATTATATTATATTATATTATATTATATTATATTATATTATATTATATTATATTATATTATATTATATTATATTATATTATATTATATTATATTATATTATATTATATTATATTATATTATATTATATTATATTATATTATATTATATTATATTATATTATATTATAT